CGGCATTCCCGGTGTCCCCGCGCTCTCGCAGCACGCAGCCCTACAGCTCCTCTTCTGATGGCTGCAAGGAGACGCACGTGAAATGACACCGCCGCCTCCTACACACAGAAACGAGCCTTCAGCCATCAAAGCAGTGACATACTGAACTCAAGCTAGGGAAGTGTCTCCGCTCCTAGAAGCCCTCCAGAATTTACAGCACATTCCCAGCCCTCAGAATCGTTTTCCAGTAGAAGTTCTCCTGTTGAATCCACTGCCTGGCTCCACTGCTGTTAATCCTTAGGTTTGCGAGAGCACCAAGGAGAAATTCCAGACTTGGGGCCTTTGCCCCAACATGCAGCTGCCCTCCAGCACCCTGCAGAGGTGTTGGGTGTGCCGCCGGGCGAACACCCGCTGCAGCTCAGCGCGCTGACTGGTGCCTGCCGGCCCCGGCGGTGTGCGCTCCGGGGTCTCGTGCCTGGAAGCACGTATGCTAAGCGAATGCCCACCGGCAAGAACACAAGAACATAGGGACTGGGGTTCCTTTAAAAATCAGGTTTTATTTGTCTTCTCGGCTCTCGTACGTGTAATAGGATCCTCCTGGTTTTCTCTCCACACAAACCTAAGTAAGTATCGCCCCAGGAAAACAACCACTTGCCCTGGTGTACTCGTCTGGCCGAGGGGCAGACCGCACAGCCTGCATCCTAGCCCTCATCCTTTCCGAGGTCAGAGCTTTTCCTCTGCCCATCGCCTCTTCTCCAGGTCCACGTCTTGCCAGAGAGAACCGCGGCTGTGTGCTGCTGCCGGGAAGCTGTTCCATGTCACCCGTTCCTGTCCTTGTCGTGGCCCGAAGAACGTAGGGAGTAAAGGCGGCTGCTGCTGCTTCACGCACTTCCTTTCCCGCTGGGGAGATGCTGGTGTAGTAAAAGCAGCAGCTTGGGGTGTTTTTAACAAACCAGTCCCAGTCCCTGCAGCTTCTCCACCCTTTGCTTCTGCACCCTCCCATGTGGGAGGCTGAGCGTGCAGGCCGAGGGGCTCTGTGGGCAGGCCGGAGGGGTGTTTTCCTGGCCTGTTTTCACATCTCCATGGGCGGTGCAGCACGGCCTCTCTCGGGGCGGGAGCTCACATGCAGCTGCGTCCCACGCGTGAAACTGAAGCCTGATCAGAAGAGGCGGCCTAAGCGGGACCAGGGCATGGGGGTCACGTCTCTGCGCCTCTGACTTTGGCACAGGGCACCGAGTACCGTGTGGTGACAAACCTTTGGAAAACCGGCCCAAACCAAAGCACCGGTCCGGCTTGGGACAAGGCCTGTGCTCCCCTATGAGGACAGGGTGCCTCCTCCCTCCTGCGCTCACAGCCACGGCTCCCAGCCCTAGCTACAGCCTTCCATGCACCACACTCTGTCCAAAAAACCACCAGCACATTTTAACAAGAGGGTCAGTTACTCATTGGTGAGGAAAACTTCCACCACTGGCCTCATTCAAGAGGGCCAAGCGCTGTTTGCACCGTTATGAGGCACCTTGGGGCAGTGTCCTGCGGCAGTCGGCGCTGTCAGCTGCGGTAGGCCTTCAGCAACTGCCCTGCTATCACCAGTCTTTGGATCTCGCTGGTCCCCTCGTAGATCTCGGTGATCCGAGCGTCGCGGTAGTGGCGCTCTGCTGGCATCTCTGTCACGTAGCCCATCCCGCCCAAGATCTGGATGGCCTGAAACAAAGGCAGCAGGTTAGAAAGGAAGCAGGGGGGGTCCCCCGGGGATGACTGCAGCCAACAAGCAGGGTTTGAGCTGGGTGAGGACAATGCTGATGTCCCAGACAAAGCATGAACCACCCGAGGTCTCTGTTAGTGATCCACGTCCAGCCCAGACACGTCTGTTAAGGACAGGGGAAAACAAAGGCAGACACCAGAGGTCCTGCTCCATTTGCTCACTATGTGCACACTTAATCCTGGTCCTGACTGGTGCATCCATGCTCCCTCCCATGTCCCTGATCCTGCCTAGAACTTTGACACCATCCTGGGGAGCAGCACGCACAGGATGACTTTAATGACACAACTGCCACAGGGCAGCATAAATCCCCACCCCCCCCCGTGATGCGGGCAGGTGGCCGTGCTCCCCACCCTCAGCCACATGGGCTGGTTTGCTTGGGTTTTAAAAAACATCTAGTAAATTCCAGCCCACCTTCCCCCAGCACTCGCTCCGTGACAACAAACTCGCTGCCAGCACACTGCGGGGCAGGGGGAGTAGTTACCTGATGAGCGATGGCTGTTGCAGCTTCCGAGGCAGCCAGCTTGGCCATCGCCGCTTCCTTGGGGGAAGGAAAACATGACTGAGGGTGCAGCTGTCGCACGAAGGAACACCTCACGGGCACGAGGAGCTGGCAGGCTCGCAGACAGGCTGTGCAGGCACAGGCCTGATCACGCTGCCCGCTGACAGCAGGGCCAAAACTCTCCCCTGGGCCGAAACCAGGACTCGGCTCCACGGGCTGCCTGAGCGCAGCCAGCACGGCCCCAGCCGCAGGTGGGTTCAACGCGGAACGCAGCGATGCCGTACGCAGCGCCGTGTTCCCACCTCGAGCCCGGGCCCAGCACTGTTGCTGCTAGACAAAGGCAAGGCTGGAAATACCTTTGTGAAGGGCTTCCCGTTGTCCTTCAGCATCGCAGCTCTCCAGGTCAGCAAGCGCGCGCCCTCCAAGGCCACAGCCATATCTGCGAGCTTAAACTGCAACGACAGGCACCGCCTGTGTTCCAGGTGGCAGCAAGAACGCGTGGCCCAGGTCTCCTCGCTCTGTTTTCTAGCAGTACCGGCCTCGGTCAGTCTTAGCGGTGTTTGAACACCGAAATTACTACCTTGTGTATCGCAGACAGTGCAAAGTGCACTGCCGGCCTGAAGCCACGCCCGACAGCCCGCGGGAGCTTTGCGCCAGCGCCAGCAGTGCCTGGAGCTGTGCTGTCCCCAAAGCTCCTACCTGCACCGCCTGCAGCTTTGTGATGGGTGACCCAAAGGCCATTCTCTTCTCAGCATAATCCACAGCACAGTCCAGAGCTGCCTGTGCTATTCCAAGAGCCTGCGAAGCGATACCAATCCTTCCTGCATCCAGAGTTTGCTGCAAAAGACACAAAATGTACCTGTTAAGTCATAACTGACCAGAGATACTGCACTCGCGTTTCTGCTCCTGCTGGGAAGCTGCTGTAGCCCCTGCTCGGAGACCTCAACTCAGAACATTCCCAGTTAGGCAGGAACGGAGCTACAAAGTACGCTGGGCACTGCAGAGGAGCCAGGGGTGTAAGAAGGGAAGCAGAAAGGAGAGGTATTGTGTCTTATTAGCTGGGGGGAAAAAAAAAAGAGGGTGCAAA